CAACGCTTCTGTGCTATGTCCTGGATGGGAGGGAGGGAACTGCCAATGATCTTTTTGGCCATTCTCACCACTTTCTGCTCCGCCTCCCTGTCTGAAGCAGTGATGCCTCCAAACCAGACGTGATGCTGTATGACAGGATGCTCTCAATTGTCCCCCTGTAGAAAGTGGTCAGGACAGGGGAAGGAAGATGTGCTTTTCTCATGCGACGCAGAAAATGCAGGTGCTGCTGTGCCCGTTTCACCAGTTTCTCACTGTTGAGCAACCAAGTCAGCCTACTCGTTAGCTGCACACCCAGGAATTTGATGCTGGTAACCATCTCCACAGGTGAATCATTTATGCACAGAGAAGTGTGGCTGTGCCTGCCTTTCCTGAAATCAACAATGATCTCTTTGGTTTTTCTGGTATTTAAAACTAGGCTGTTTTCCTTACACCAGTTCACCAACTTCTCAACCTCCTTGTAGTAAGTTTCCATTTTGTCATTCTGAATAAGGCCCGCTACTGTTGTATCATCTGCGAACTTCACAATATGGTTGGTGGCAAACCTAGCACAACACTCATGGGTCAACAGGGTGAACAGCAGTGGACTTAAGACGCAGCCCTGAGGAGAACCTGTTCTCAAGAAAATGGTTTAGAGGTATTTGTTCTAACTCATACATATTGGGGCCTGTTGGTAAGAAAATCAAGAATCCAGTTGCACAAAGGGGTGTTTAAGTCTAAAAGGCCCAGTTTGTCTACTAGATGCTGGGGAATGATTGTGTTAAACACCGAACTGAAGTCGACAAACAGCAAACACACGTGGGTATTTCTTTCCTCTAAGTGCTTCAGGCTCAGATGGAGAACGGAAGAAACAGTATCCTCCATAGAGCGATTTGATCGGTAGGCAAACTGAAGCGGGTCAAATGCTGGTGGGAGGCTAGATACAACAGTGTCCTTTATCAGCTTCTCAAAGCATTTCATGATGGTGGATGTCAGTGCAACCAGACGGTAATCATCGAGACCTGTAATTGTGGATTTTTTTTGGCACTGGCAAGATGATGGCCATCTTAAAACATGATGGGACCACTGCCTGCTGCAATGAGAGGTTGAAAATATCTGTGAGAACACAAGCCAGCTCCTCTGCGTATTCCCTGAGGACACGTCCATGGATGTTATCTGGGCCTGCTGCTTTCCGAATATTAACTGTCTGCAGTGTTTTTTGGACAGAGGTGACATCAAAGCTTGGCACTTGCTCATCAGGATGGGGCACAGCTTTCCTAGCAGAAGTGCTATTTGATGCCTCAAATCTATCAAAAAATGCATTCAGTTTGTTTAAGAAGTCTGTGTCATCCTTGCATCTCGATGGAACCACCTTGTAATCCATAATGGCCTGGATCCCTTGCCACATTCGCCTGGTGTTTGTTGGGTCCTGAAAAAAGTTCTGAATTTTCTGGCAATGGGCTTGCTTTGCACATTTTATGGTACTTTTCAGATTTGCTCTGGCTGTTCTAAGTGCCAGCATGTCACCAGATTTAAAAGCCACATTCCGAGCTTTCAGCATCTTGCGGATCTCATAAGTCAGCCACGGTTTTTCATTCACCCTCACAACAATGCTTTTCAGGACACAGACATCTTCTATGCATCTTCAGGACACAGACATCTTATATGCATCTTCGTCTGCATATATCTTTTGGATATATGCAGACACCATGGTGGCATACTTCTCAACATTTGTATGTTGTTTATCAATAGCTGTTTCCTTAAACATGCCCCAATCTGTGCACTCAAAGGAGTCTTGTAATGCTTCTATCGCTCCCTCTGTCCAAACCCTCACCTCCTTTACTGTAGGTTTCACTCTGACTAATAAAGGTTTATATGCTGGAATAAGCAGGACTGAGAGATAGTCAGAGGAGCCCAGGTCAGGGCGGGGGATAGCTTTGAAAGCCTTCTTGATGTTGGAATAAGCAAGATCCAGTGTATTGTCCCCTCTGGTTGCAAATTCCACATATTAGGGTAGCTTTCAAATCCACTTGGTTAAAGTCACCCACTGCAATAAATGCACCCTCTGGGTGAGTAGTTTGTAAGTCACTGATGGTATGGCAGAGAACCTTAAGGGCCTCTTCTCTGTTCGTTTCAGGGGGAATATACACAGCTGTTATAATGGTAGCAGAGAATTCTCTAGGCAGATAGAAGGGTCTGCATTTGATGGTCAAAAGTTCCACATCTGGGGAGCCCAGACTTGAAACCACCTTGGCATTATTACACCATCTGTCATTTATATAAAAACAGACACTCCCTCCCCTGGATTTGCCACTAAGAGTAAAACTCCTGTCCAGCTAAAATGTTGAAAATCCCATCAAGCTAACAGCACTATCTGGGACAGAGGGCTTTAACCAAGTCTCTGTTGCAATAATGACACAGCAATTTCTCACCTCCCAGTTTGTTGTTAAGTCCAGCCTCAAGTAATCCATTTTTGGTTCTAAGGAGCGAGCATTTGCAAACAAAATAGATGGAAGAGACACTCTGTAAGGTCTAGCTTTTAGCTTAGATGTTAGGCATCCACGTTTGCCACGCTTTCTCTTTTGGTCGCACCTCCTCCTTTTCTTCCGAAGATAATCAGCAACGGAGGGAAACTTCCCAGCTGCAATGGCTGCTCCTCCACTCTGCCTCTGTGGCCCGAAATTCTGCCTTCGCTGCCTTTGCTGCTCAAAACACTGAGCACGATGCTGTTTCCTCCTCCAGCAACTTCCTTTCTTCCTCCCCACTTCTCCAGACATTGCAGCTGATCTCTCACACTCTCACCCCAGCAACTCCGTCCTTGATTTTCTCCTCCGTAGTAATCCGAGGTCATGAAGGCTCTCCTGAACAGTTTTCTCCACTGTTCCTTTCACGCTGAATTTCTTCATCTCCAATATGAACTGACGTTCGTATGAAAGTTTAGCAGCCCAACTTAGCTTAGTTGTCTCTATTTCTGAAAAGTGTTTCAGTCCAGATCGTTCATTTCCCTCCCTATCTCCCACCCTTTTGAAAGCTGAAGCAGCCGCAGCCAAGCAAGGCGCTGCCATCTTAACTTAACCTTCTCCTTTCTATCAGAAAGTTTAACTTTTTCCTCTTGCAGAGCAGTTTTTCTCAAAAAAAAGCACTATATAATGATGATGCACAATAGATTCTACATATAAAAGGAGATCCATTGGAGGGAAGTTGCTACCACCAACTCAAGTATTCACAGGTATGGATGTGAAAACAATTGTTTCATTAAATAAAGTAAAAAAACTCTTGTTTTTTTACTATATAGTGCAATCGTCAGGAATCCAATAGAGAATCCTATGAAGAATCCAGTTTTTTTCCCATTATTTCATATTTTTTCTTTCTAGAAGCACGAATAATGGAAACTATCTCTCTGGAATTATGTTAAGCACATTTATTTCTTTTATTGTGAAGTCTACCATATTTTTTGTTTGCAAGGCAGAATGTACACATAATTATATAGACAGATTTCCTAAAGTTTACTAAGCAGCTGAGACCTACCAACAGAAATAATAACTTATTAAAATAATGTAAATAAAATAAATCAATAATTTATTTATAGTCTCAGACCAATTAAACACAAGGATACAGAATAGAAATAGAATAAGATAGAAAATTTTAAATCTTTCAAATAGCATAAATCTTTCATTTTTTATCAAAAATAAAGTAACATCCAGTAAAACTCTACTGAATTTGCATGTCACATTAAATTTATGTAACACAGTGGGTAGAAAGCTAGCAAACCATATTAGTCTTTGCATGAATTTTCTGTGAAAAATTCATGCTGCATATAAAAATATAAAATAAAAGGGAGGTATATTTTTGTATTTCCTCTGGATTCCTACATTTTAAAAGTCTTAGGATGAGATCTAGCCTTTGTTGTTCTTATTTTTTTAAAGAACCTCCTTCCCCAACATTATAATCAATACAGCCCTGGTAATCTTCTCTATTGACAAGCAGTCTTCTTTTCAGGATATATTTAGAAATGTGAAGCTCAATCATTCATAGAGAACACTTTCACTAACATTCTAATATTTAATGCAAACTTATATTATACGTTACATAAACGGCTTTCATCTGCAATCTGTTTCCATTATCTAGACAACTATCTGCTAACCGTAGAACATAGACACTTCTCCCAGATACTAGCAATTCAATTATTAGCAACCTCTTTGCACTCGGTTACCATATGCCAGAATTGATGCTTTCACTTCTTTTGGGGTTTTTTAATTCTTAAAATCAAGCATCTTTTTCATAAGACAGAAAAATATACACATAACACAAACAATACAATAATATAAAAGTGACTATAGAAAGAAAGAAATGTAAATTTAATCTTTTAAGGACACAATGAATGAGAGTACAATCTTTGAGCACGATTGAGCCCAAAATTTCTATTGCTATGCAAGACAGTTATCAAGTGAGATGTACTCCATTTTATCTTTCCTGCCACAGTTGTTAAATGAAACGCTGCAGTTGTTAAGTTAGTAACATGGAGTGAATCTAGCTATAACTTTGATTGTCAGAAGGTTGTAAAAGATTATTAGAGGTCCCCGTGACACCGCAACTGTCATAAATACATACCAGTTGCCAAACTAAATTTTGATCACATGACCATAGGGATGCTGCAATGGTCATAAGCGTGAAAAACTGTAATTAGTAGCTTTTTTCAGTGCCATTGTGACTTTGAACTAAATGAATGGTTAAGTTGAGGACTTATAAAACAAAAAACATAACCAAGTTGTTCTTATCTATAAAAATATGAAAAATAAATAGTATTTTGTATAATTTCCTTATACAAACTTTTTTCCTTGTGGAAAAAAGTTGAATAGTTCATAGTAAAAACAGAGAAACGTTCCATTCTTGAACATAGCATTTCAACACAAACAACATTTCCAATTCAATCAGTTTATCATCTGTTTATTATTTCACTATATAATCTAAATATGTGTCAATTAAAAAATCTAATACATAATTAGTAAAAATCAAGTTCAAACCTTTCTCCGATGAGATGGCACAATGAAAAAGGTTTCAATATTATGCTTCTTTAAGAAATTGTTCCTTTCATAGCCATATCCGGGCTCCACCTCATAGTCACCATTTAGGCACTCTAATGTGGTCTTTGTTACATGCACTTTCCTAAATACAAATAAAAAAAAAGTTGTTTAATACTATGATCCATTAGCTTTTTTACAGAATTCAGTTTGAATCTTCTTTCTTGGTACATGAAGATCATTTTATCCCAAAAGATTTTCTTTTCAAACACAAATTGAGAGTAGACCAAACACAAAAAGTGAAGGCAATGGAGAATAAAGTTGATCCAGACCAAAATCAAAACCAATTGGTAGACCCTGGAAAACAAAAAGTGATGGAAGGATAAGCTGCACAAAAATTGATTCCTCGTCCTTTTAAAATAAAAAAAAATGGAATACCGGTATACATATTCAACGTGGAATATTAATGGATCCAATCCAATTCAAAGCAGAAAAAAGTATTTCATTATTTGAGGAAATTAAATCTAGAAGAAATGCACATTAAAATAAAATAGAAAATATTTTGTTAATAAAATATTAGGAGAGGAATTTATCTCAATGGGACTAAACAAGAGAAATAAAGTTGTCTTATATGTAAAATCTCAGCTTAAAATTAATTAAAATTATCACTTGTAATATGAGATGAATTTGGTAGATTTGTAGCAATAAAAGTGGATGGAAAGAGATAAAGGGATAAAGATAATGGTAGTAGGAATTTATGTACCAAATGAAGACAAATCAAAATTTCTTGAATATTTTATGAACGAATTAATATAATTTACTTATGAAAATTGGAATCTGCTTGATATTGGAATGGAGTAACTTTTCTGACTTGATAGAATATCAAATAAAGAATAAAACTCCTACAAGATAAACTAATAGAAGTCTTTTTTGAGTTGATGGATAATTTAACTTTGGTTAGCTTGATACAAAAATTCAAAAATAAATTAGCAAGAGACTATACCTTATTACAGAAATCACTCAAATTAGCAGAGAGATGTATTATTATGCTGATATATGCAGATGAGGCAGCAATTCTCTCAAGGATACGCATTGGATCTGAGAACTCCAAATACTTTCATACATTATTGTAAAGAGAACCACTTGGAAATCAACTATACTAAAACTAATAATGGCATTTACAAATTGCCCTAAAAAGCCTACCTGGATTATTAATAACCATTCCATTGAGCAAGTGCAATGCTTCTTATGCAGGATCCAATGTGGATCAGTCACCAGAACCCAAGGTTTTGTCTTTCAAGCTTTTGGACTTGTGATGGAGCCCATCTTCAGGGAACTTCTCTTTAGCAGAGTGTGTGCTGTTCTGTGTAGTATTTAAATAGTGCTGTCAAGCTATGAAGATTGCTTGCACTAGGATAGCTATGCTGCTTCTAGTTTGCCAACAGTTACAAGGGGAAGGGGAGGGTATGGAATGGACAGGTGGTTTCTATCCATATGGGAAGCAAGGTCACAGAAGAGAGGTTATGTGAGCAGAGACTACATCTACATCTACCCCTTCGGCAGAGATCTGATCGGCCTTCAACACCAGCGCCAGCACCCTCACCCCAAATCCCACTGAGAGTAGCGGCAGCCAAGGCTGGGGTAATGGCTAGCCCCCAGTTGATGGCTTTTCCCTAGCCCAGCTCCAGTCCAGGCCTCAGGGCCCATGGTCCCAGCAGCAACCCCACGACCTGGGATGTCTGGTGCACAATCACTACTGTGGCCAATGTATGGCATCCAGCCATGGATGTTGCCCTATGGCCTGGGATGGCTGCTGGCATATCGGGGTGTCCCAAGGTTTCCACCATTCCCTCTGATCAAGGCCATCTTTGATGGCAACCTGGAAAAGCTGGCGTTCTTCCTGAATCAAATCTGGTCGCACCTGGACCGACTTGGAGGAACTTATGCTGACAATGAGGCTCACGTGGATACCACCATGGCCAACCTCGAAGGGGAAGAGGCAGAATGGGTGACAGTTCTCCATGACAAAGGAGCCCCCAAGCTGGGTGATACTGAAACATTTTGGGAAAGCTCAGGGCCTGATTTGGTGATACCACACAGACACAATGCGCAGAGGCTGAGATTCACAATATAAGGTAAAGAAGCAAGCCCGTTGCTGAGTACATCAGAGAGTTCAGGAGGATTGCAGACTGAGACATTGGCCAGAGCAACTCCTGACACACTACTTCAAGGATGGTTTGAACTGTGAGTTGTACCACACATACTTATCTAGAGGAATACCAAACCAACTCAACAATTGATACCAACTGGTGATTAATGTGGAGTTCGACCTGATGGAGTACAAGGGGTGCAGGAGGCTTGAGACCTGTCTGAAGAGGAGCCAAGAGAAGCACACACTAGGTAGAAGAGTCTGTGGCATTATCTCCTGCCCCAGGCAAACCCCCAAGACGCACTCTCAGTTTGTGCTTCTGTTGCGGTCAAGAGAGCAACCAAGCTGTTCTGGCACCCAGAGCAATGCTGGTAGCCCTGCCTCCTCTGAAGGCCAAAAAGCCACCAAAAAAGGGAAAGAAAAGTTATGTGTGGCTTGTCAGACTGTCGAGGTCTCCCCCTGAAAGTGAAGGGAACACCGACTGAAGAAAAGCTGAACTTGAAACTCTATAAGAGTGACAGTGAGAGTGAAGACAACCCAATGGTGAGTGGACCCATCAGCCCCCTTGCAGCCCAATTGGAACTTGCAGCACCAAATTTGGGGCAAGAGGGATGGTAAAGGCCCTAATACCTAATCAGCCTGCCAACAGTGCAGCAGCTAGGGTTGTGAGTGAGAAAGCTAAGGCAGTTCAAGCAGGTTGACAGCTCCCTGCTGGGGGGCTTGGCTATCTTCTACTTAATTGAGTCAATGCCCCTAAGGCCAGGGGACCATCAAGAGACTATTTGTTCATGGTTGCCCCGAAAATAGCCAAGGGGGTGATTTTTAGGATTATCCTGGCTAACTAAGTGGAGCCCCAAGGTCCATTGGGAAAAACTCATGAAACTAGTAGTAATGAAAAAGAGAAGCCCTGATCTTCCAGGGAAGAAGGGCGGGTCCACACTGGAAAGAAAGAAAAAGGGAAACCCTGAACACAGCAACACTGTGTCAGAGCAGAGGGAGGTGCAGCAGCCCTCCCAAAAGAATACCAAGACCTCATGGAGGTGTTCAGTGAGAAAGAGTGTGACATGCTGCCCCGCACCACCCCACAGACTGTGCCATCGAGATCCTGCCTGGAGTGAAACTTCCATAGCCAAAGATGTATTCCATGACTCCAAGGGAGATGAGGGAGCTGAGGGACTACATCGGCAAGAATTTGGTGAGGAGTTTTATCCACTTGGCAAAATCCTGAGTGGTAGCCCCTGTGCTAATCAAAGAGAAGAAATATGGGTAGATGACTTCCATGGGATTAATGAAGTATGCATGGAAAATACGTACCCACTCCCCCTTATGGACATGCTGGGACACTTAGCCAAAGGGAAAATCTTCATGAAACTAAACCTGAGGGAGGGATACTATTGAGTGAGAATTAAGGAAGGTGGCAAATGGAAAATTCTTTTCAACTGCCTGGTAGGGAGCTATCAATTTAAGGTACCAGCCATATTTATGCAGCTCATAAATGAGGTGCTGCATGAACATTTATAAAAGGGGTTTTGATGTATCTAGATGATATCCTCATTTACACCGAGACTATGAATGAACACATGAAACTCATGCAACAGGTGCTGAAAAAAGTTTTGGACGCTCAGCTATATACCAAATTGTCAATATGAAAGTTTCACAAGACCAGCCTAGATTAACTGGACTACAGAGTGTTGTGTGAGGGGTGAAGATGGACCTGGGAAAACAGAATTCCATCCTGGAATGACAAACCCCTCAGACTGCAAGCAGCTACAGAGCTTTTTGGGGTTCGCAAATTTCTACAGGCAGTTCATCCTCTCCTTCGCAAAGATTGCACTGCCAATTACAGGACTGTTAAAAATGGGAGGAGGGAGAGAGAAGCCTTGGCTGAACCAGCCTTGAACTAGATGATGGAATGCCAAGTGGCATTTGAAAAATTAAAGGACTTATTTGCAGCCAAACGAATTTTAAAACACCCAAACCCTGAGTTGCCATTTGTAATTCAAGCAGATGCCAGTGATGTAGCCATAGGAGCAGTCCTCCTCCAACGAAACCAGGAGAGGAAGTTGCAATGGTGAGCTTACATATCCCGTAAGTTGAACAAGACCAAGAAGCGATGGGCCTGTGGGAGAAGGACGCCTTTGCCATAAGATGGGTGCTTTTAACTTGGAGGCAATTCCTTGAGGGGAGTAAAATCCTTTTTGAGTTGTGGACTGACCATAAAAACTTGGAGGATTTGAAACCCCCCTGCAATTCTAATGGGCTTTTTATTTTGACTAGTTTGATTTTGAGTTGAAGTACATTCTGGGGGGGGGGGATTTCCTGGCGGATGGCTTGTACCTCAATATAAAAGTAATTGAGAAGAGGTAGTGAATTCCATAATCTCCACGAAGCAGTGAGTGGCACAAGCCGTCATAAGATGGCAAGAGAAGAAAAGGAGCTCACCTCCCACTAATGCTTTTGCCCAGCAATTAAAACTATAGGATGTATGGTTTGGGGCTAATCAGAGCGAGCTAACCCTGAGGAGATTGGCGTGGAAGGGGGACAAGCTATATGTCCCAGATACCTTGCAGCTACAAGTTTTGCAACATAGCCATGATACCAAGCAAACTGGCCAGTTTGGATTTCTTTGCATCTAGCCAACTGTCAGTTCTGGTGGTCAAAGATGAAAAAGGACATTGAAAGCTACATGAAAATCTGTGCAGTGTGCACAGCCAGTAAAAGAATGCCAGGGAACAGCCCAGGGTTATTGCAACAGGTTACCATCCCAACCAGACCCTGAGAGGAGACAGCCATGGACTTCATCATGGAATTACCAGAGAGAGGGGGGAACACTGTGATTTGGAGTGTCATGGACCTGTTTTCCAAGCAAGCCCATTTAATCACTGTAGGTTCTGGAGGGAGTTTGTGAGGATTGGGTCCTCCCAGGGGCTTAGTTCAGCTTTTCATCAAAGTACGAATAGGGCCGCAGAATGAACCAATGCAATGGTGGAATATAC